GAGAGAGGGAGAAAGAAGAGGAGACAGAGCGTGAGGAAGAGGGGGGTGAGAGACAGGGAGAAGGGAATTTCATCAAATTACAAATTTAAACTACTCTAATTCAGAAACGGTTTAGTTAGGTCTCCCTATTTTTTTATAAGGTTCCTATGTGTAATTAATTAAATATTTCTACATTACATATTTATTTTTTTAAAAATCTGTAAAACATTTTCGCCGCAAAGTATTAAAACGTTACTTTGGTAAGGTTTGGTGTAGGATTTATGTATTAAAAGCTGAAACTTTAAAGGCGAATATCTCATTTTGGCATCATTAAAATCTTTGAAATTTTAATCATATATAGATAAAATTATTTTAAACATAATTTCAAAAAAAATCTGAAGAAACTTAATTTCTCGGAAAAATATCGTAATTAAACAATATTAAGTTTTTATAAACACTTTCTTAATGTTTTAAAATAATTTTCAAATGTTTTACACAATTTTTAAACTTTTAAAACGAATTGATGTATTTTATATACCTATGACTATTTATTTATAAATTAAATACAAAAGCAGAGAAATGGAAAACACGCTTTGACATAATGCAAATGTCTCCCATAACAAAAACGTCATAGTAATTACATCACAATCATTATGGTGACATGCGAATATCCACTTTATCACAAATGTAATGTTTTGTCATGATTATGTGCCATGTCATGATTATAGTATGTGTCTTTATAACATGTTATTTTATTATGATAATTTCACAGTGACATCCTCTCTTTTCCTGACTATTGTGATGTGAATTTGACCCTTTGCTATTGGGGATTTAAAGTGCCAGTCTCGGTCAACCGCGTGAATTCCACGCATTCCCATTCAATAATTCATCATTCAAATTTTACTTATCGGATCGCTTTTTGATAAAATTTTTTGTAATTCTTAGAATCTTACAGAGAATACGTCGATGATATATCAGTTCCCTGTATATTTTTTCTGTAATTTATATTACATTTATTGTTTATACTTTATATTTATACTATATATTTTTCTATGTTCTGTATTTTGTATATTTTCTATATTTAATATATTCTTTAATTATTATATATTCTATTAATATTTATATTGTAATTCAATTACAAAATTTTAAACGTATTAATGCTAATATTTCTAATAATATTAAATAAATAAATTTATATTATATTCTATATTTAATATATTTTCTAAAGAATATACATTAATAAGAATATAATATCCAAATTCAAGTTACGATTATTATAATAAGAATTGCGTATAATTACCTCTTGCGGGGGTACGTCATATGTCCGTGTTCGCAAATCAACGCGGGCGTAATTGTCCACGCACGGCAGGATGAAAAAAATTCCTATAAGTAAATATGTTTAGTTACTTCGATCTTTAATCGATAACAAATCGTAACATGTTGAAGCGTTCTCATATGCATTGCATAACATATTTAAAATAAAATGGGTTGTAAAAAAATATTGTAAACACGAATCAAATTATCTATTTCTATAATTTTCAATTTTAGTTACATAGTCCCAAGTATCAAAAATTTAAAATTTTTTTCTCATATAATAGCGTACATAGTTGAGAAATTTGTCGAATGTAATACGTTTTATATATCTCAAACGGTTTATATATCTTCTCAAATTTTTGTATTCGTAATATTTAACATTAAATGAATGTGTTGGAAAACGCAGATATTGTGTAAATAAAATTATCACAAAAAAGATAATGCTAATAGTTTGTATACAAACTAAAGAAGTATATTTCTTCAGTATAATATTTATGATATGTTAAATTAACGCATATTTTGGTAATTGTGCAAAATAGGGCCTTTTCTTTAATCAACATTTTTTTAGCTGCAACATTGATTACAATCTTTGTTATGATTCAAATTATGAGGAGAGGGCGAAAAATATATATACACATATACTTCTATTTATGTACTGAGTAATAATGTTGACATTCTAAAGTCGTGCGCTCAATAGCAGGGGGAAGATGGGAGTCGCTTCGCGTGGAAGTCATGTACCCCTAAGCAGATAGCTACTATATGTAATGTTTTTAAAGAAAATTTTTGTTTCTTATTGTTCAACCTCCCCCGATTTATTATCACTATTTGAGTCATAACGAAAATTATTATCAAGTCAAAATTCAGAAAAAGCCGTATTTTTCATAACGCATATTTCATATTTATCTCAGAATTTATGTTTTAAAATACATTACTTTTATATTATTTATTCATTTATTCATAAATTGTCATTTTGATACTAATGTAAGAAATATTAGGTGTGAGAAAAAATTCGTGGCGTTTTTTTAATTTCTAACGGGAAAAACGCCACGAACTTTTTCCCACACCTAATATATTAATTTAACACAATATCTTCGAACGTAATCATATTATGTAAAATTAACACAACTCGAATATGTTAAAAAATTCAACACAAACTTCTTATTAATAAGAATGTGAGTAGTTCGATACATATACATAATATTTTTACTATTAGAGTTATAAATATGTATATTTTGATAAGTAGATATACTGTTGAAAAATTTGTGTTAATTTTAACACATTTCATGTGTCCTAAATAGTCCATTCAAATTTTTATGTTAATTTTTAAGATGTTAAAGTAATATAAATATTACATAATAAAACCAACAAAAAACTATACACTAACACAACTTATAAGCACTGAAAGCATATTTTTTAATAAAATTAATATTTATGATATTTTACATTTAATAACACATATTTTATTCATTTTCAAAAAGTCATTATTTAAAATATATTATTTTTAAGTTATTTATTTATTTACTCATAAATTATGTTATTTTGACACTATGAAATATTAAATATCTATCATTTCTAATTCTATTATTGTTACACATTAATTGAAACATTAATTTCAAAATTTAAATATTCAAGTAACATAATTACATTATAATAAATTACATTATATTAAATTAACACTCAGATTTCAACAAAAATTTTAACAATGACTAGAATAGATCGGATTTAACATAAACAACATGTACTTACTATGGGTAAATGACAATAAAATACTTTAAAATATCAAAAATTAAATATATATAT